ATTTGTGAGGTTAAGGTCAGAAACAATAGAGCTAGGGAGGCTCAGCCTGGTGGCCCAAGCTCCTTTCTTTGGGGGTCCTCCCTGAATCACTACCTATTCCTCAGCCTCTGCGGTAGTCTCAGAGCCTGGACTCGTAGACTAGGAGCTCAGAGGGTGTTGGAGGAGTATTCTCACTGGTGTAGAAGCTGCACCATGGGAAGGGGGGCCTGGGGCCGTGCCCCCGGCTGCTTCCTCACTTCATGGTAGTCCTGTTGGCCCCAACCTTGCATCTGACTTAGAATTTAATTTTAGTACCTTAACGATGTAACATGTCTCAGGCCATCTGTCCTTGTAAAAGCACGTGTGGACCACTTTACAGTTTACATAGCATGTAAACTAACAAGAAACCAGTTAGCCTCACAATAACGCTTCTTCCCATTTCACACACGAAGCCTCCGGGACTCTGCAATGGAAGCGACTTGCCACACACTGTGCGGGAAACAGGCATGCGGACTGAGGCCATCTCTCTAAACCGTGCTGTCTTTTCATTAAACCTACATGTCCCTGCTTTAAAAGCTTCAACAGTCTGGATGAAGAGAAGTTTCTCTTCAGGGAAGGAAGGAAATTCAGGTGTGCAAAAGCTGCTGACCAAATACCGCTGAATTGTGAATCAGTTCAGGGAAAGAGGAAAACTTCATTTAGCCTCACTATGATACCCTAGCTCGTCTCCAGTCCCAGCTTCTGGGAGTTGCAGGAAACATTCTCTGCAGGATTTGGGAATGGGGGAGGGCCAGTCTTAACTTTCCCAGTTTTAGAATTTAGGTCTCTGTGCTGAGATGCATCAGCATTTCCTTCTGGCAGCGTGGAATGGCTTTACAGACTGTAAAACCAGGGTTCAAACACAGGATTCAGCATTAAGTACCTGGATGGCATCCTTCAATTACTTTAATCTCCTGAAGACTCACTACTCACTTGTAAAACTTGCCTCCTACCTTGAGAGGCTTATGCATGGATTAAATAGGAAATGCTGATTCCTATTTCCTTCTTGCCTTCATTTTTTTCTGGCCAGGCCTTTGTTCCAAAGTTTGGTTTCCTGCAGTGCCAACATATAGAGACTCAGTAAGCAGAGAAATTACACAGACATGGCTGGGGTCACCTATGGGCTCAGCAAGGAACTCCATCTCCAAAACTGAGCTGCCTGACTCTTGTATGTACTTGTGACACTGAGCACTTCTCTGACTTGTATAAATGGGGACACCTAAAAGGCAGAGATGACGAGTGAGAACACTTTAGGTTTAGACAATTGATACAGTGGTATATAATACATAATTATGGGAGATTGTCATCTGATGCCCATTAAAGACCTAAATATGGGTCACTGAGCTAGTCACTGAAAACGCACTGGGTCAAGGACAAGGGCCATTGTGGAAAGGACCTAAGGTCACAGTGAGAGAAGTCAGGTGAATAACAAAACCACTGATGCTCATTTAAGGCCACCCACCTATAAAGCCCTTGCACACCTTGGTCCTCCAGTTCGAAGTCCATTACCTACTTTCTGAATGATTCTAGCGATGCCTTTGATTTCTCTGGACGTTGGATGCTTTATCAAATTTCGTTTGTTACCCCTTTAACAATATTGGGACTGCTTCAGTAGTTTTCAAACCTATCTTGCAGCAGAAACTTTAACTTCTTGCCTATAAGTGTACATCAGAAGTACACTCGGAAGTGCAATTGCTTTCACTGTAGCATGGGGTGAGTCTCAGTGGGTCTCTGTCACCTCTTCTTGAAGGCTTTGATAAAGGCTGATAACTCTCAATTCCAGGAGCATTCCCCAGCCAAAAGAACAGCACCCCATCATGCCCTTGGCTGATCAGAGTAACAGTCTCTCTTCTGGCTGATCACAAGACACTCCTTTGTCACACCCTAAGTTGGTTTCATCTTCACAATACCCTGGGTTCTTATAAAAGTGATTTTCCCAGTCACAGCTAATGAGGGTAAAGCTTCAGAGCCCTGGCCTACTACTTCCCCAATTCCAGCCCTCACTCCCAGCGGTCCAGGCCCCTTGCCCTGCCCCAGATCCAGATTAAGTAGCAAGGAGGTGAAGTACCAATGCCCAAAGGAATTAAAGAAATGAAAGATTTCTGCTGGCAAAGCCTTGACACATGAGTGGGGAGGGAGCGTCCTGATTCTGGGTTCCCACCAAGGTGGAACCTCAGTACAGAAAGGCCAGAACTGTGTGTGCCAATGCCCCCAGCCTCCAGCCCCCACACAGGCAATGGGTTGACAGAATGCAATTCAACCAGGCATCCATTGGGCAGCAGGTCCATTTCTGCTTAATCACAGGGAGTGAAAGAGCAAAGAAATTGGATCAGACTATCTGTGCCCTAGCAAAAGCCACCAGTGGGCTTCAGTACTCACAAAGGCTGTTTTCTAACAATGTGCTGCTTAGAAACCTGGGATTGGGAGGGAATTTAGCAGCATAGTGTCCCCACACAAATTATACCCCAATTCACAGTTGTTTACTGAACACCTCCCATGGGCCAGGCACTGGGTCAAGTGCCGCTGGGGACAGACAAGGAAGTGACACGGCAGGGTGACAAACATTTTGTGAGTTTAGAAGATAGGGCCAACTGGCTAGGAAGCCTCTGCTTTAGCCATGTCCTTTCAGATTCCACAAACCCCAGTCTTTGCAAGGACTTCGATGAGATCTATCCACAGCTCGGCACCAGTGGTGCTCACTTGGGCGTGTCTCCAGAAAGTTCTCAAGGCATAATTCCCCCTGCGTTTGCTACTGTTGTTTGTCTTCCATCATTACCCAAAGCCACCACTTCATGGACTCTGATTCCACGGTCACCCCTTGCCGGACACCTGCCGGCAGACGTACTCTTAGGAGCTTCTGTGGATGTGTTGACCCACCACTCCGTTCTGGCCATCGTCTTTGTCTGCTTTCTTGTCTGTTCCCCATCCTGCACTGAAGGGACAGGGGAGGCACGCGTTAGACATTCCAGGATCGAACTGACCCTCTGGACTGTAGTTATTTCTAGTAAATGAGGTGCAAGAGAGAGATGGGATTGCCCATGGAGCCCACGAGTGTGACAATCTGTGTGTCTGACCGGGGGAAGGGCTGCTCAGTAGGGATTAGTTTCTGGGAGTTCGGCGGTCTCCACCTTGGAGGTTTCCAATGGGGTCTGCAGCAGACGCTGCTTTTCCCAAGGAATTGTGTGGAAGCCTGGGTGATTTGAGTCCAGGAGAGCCTGACTACTCCAGCGCTCCTAGCACACTTACCCTGGAAGCCTCTGGGCTCTAACATCATAGAAAGCATAAAGAGCTTCAGGATCGAACGCACCATGGTCCATGCCTACTCGATCGCTTACAGGTGGTTTAACCTGGGGCAAGTGATGCACCTTTCTAGGCTTGCTTCCTAATCTGTGATAGGAACATAATTCACATCTCCCCAGGCAGTAGTGACGGTTAATTCAGTGAGATATTACCTCTAAATTGGCCAGCATATGCCCGCACATGACGGAAACTGGCTTTGGCTTTGTATTAACAGTCGAGGTGGCTCACGCTGAAACAGTGAGCCGCTGGGAGGACGGAGGTGTCCCTGGCTGGTGGGCGGTGGCCACAAACCCCAGATGGCAGAGACTAAGCATTTGCAGGACCTCAGCATTTTAGTTAAATACGCACAATTTTATTGATTGAAGAGATTAGGACAAAAACATTAAACCAAATACAGGACAAAGCACCAGAGGCCATAGATTCCCACCATGCACGTCACCAATCTTTCCTCCTACGGGGTACTGAAAAAAAATAGGGGACGGGGAAGAAAAACGGGTCCTTCTTGACACAGCACCATCTTTAGAATGTAAAAAACAAAACAAAACAAAACAAAAAACAAACAAGAAAACCCCCAAACCAAAAAAAAAAACCCTCTCCTTGCTATCTTCCATTATCAAAATAGAATCAAGGGCAAATCCATGGCCGCCTTGTCTCCTGACTATGAACGGTGAAGCCACCCTTCTGGGAATGTGAAGGCCGGGCTCCTGCTGAACAGGCATAAAGCATCCAAGATTTGCACACACATGCCACGTACTATAATGAAGCACAGATTCAAGTAACATTTACATACTAGAGTCCACGTGTTACCTACCCAAAAACAGGACCATTTCACAAAACGTATACAGGCAGTAAAATCCAAACAAGTGAGGTACTGGAAACACAAATATTTATGCCAAAAGAGTTCTGTATCATACAGCAAATAGAAAAGCCGTAATAAAAAAACGTTTGCCACTCGAAATCAAATAAAGCTATCTAGAAAAGCCAAACAAAAGGTTACTTCAGGGACAGAAATACTCAAACAAGAAAAAATATATAGATGTTATTCACTACAGCATGTAACATGTCATCCCAAGTCAACCCGTAATTGAAAAACTGGCTTAATACATCACAATGTGACATTTTCCTTAATAAATAGAAGGATTCATGAAAATACAAAGGTGCGTATTGGGATAGAGAGCTGTTTTTATTTATATCATCCTAGCTTCCAGCTGATTTTTCTCCCCGCTTATCTCTACCGAGGGTTTCTGTCCAAACCAGAGGGCCTGCCAAGCCAAAAGGATCATTCTTCCTAAAGAAAAGGAAACAGCTGCCCTGTATTTCATACATGTGGGACAACCTGCTTGGTTTCACTCGTTTCCAATACAACAAAGAAAAAAGGTGTAGCTGAGACCAGAGTGGCATATAATCTTCAGACTCCAAGCATCTCCCGTGATCTCGCCCCCTTTGCCCCATCCCGGCAGAGAGGACCCCCTATGAGGCAGCCCTCATCGTTCAAAGGGAAAAAAAAAAAAACAAAAACCAAAAAACTCAGGAGTGAATTTCTCCTTTCCTTTCCCCTCCTTTTCTTTCTTTAGACTATGAAAGCAGTTAATGCATCTAGAAGTTTGACTTCTAACAGCTTCCTGCCACGAACCCATGGACACAGAACAGAATAGCTTGTTAAAGGACAGATTTTTTTTCCCCCCCTTCAGGGAGCAAAGCATCAACATGTCATTTCCTGACCAGGATATTAAATAGTTTATTTAGAAGAAATGAGTTAAAAGAGCAATTAAGAGATTAAGAGACACCAACTGGACTTCTATTTTCTTTTAGGTTAGCACCCAGGTTTCTGGTCAGTCTGTGTGCACCGAATTTTGTTGTTGTTGCTGTTTAATGAACCGCATTGATTATCAGATAGGTGGTTGTCTTGTTTTTTAAAAAAAAAAAAAAAGAAAAGAAAAAGAAAAAGAAAAGAAAAAAACAAATCCTTGGCCCATTGTACCTTCCCTGAATCGTGACAAGAAGTTAAAAGCTAACAGTGCGATGCCAAGATGTGTGTTTGAGGCAGAGAGTTTTGATTCTGTTGGGCTCTGCAACTATTCTGGAACAAATGAAAAGTGGGGTAGGCAGAAGCAGCCCAACGGACCGGGGCTTCTCCAGGGGGCTACGTCAGGGAAGAGAAGCTCTGGGGCACCCGCCCCGCGGACCCGACCCCAGACCCCCACCCCGCGTCTCTCGCGCCCATGCTCCATGTTCAGTCAGCTCCTTGAAGGTTCTCCTTCTGTGAATCGAGAAACTTGAGTGTCAGTGTCTTTCTTGCTACCAAGCCAGGCGATCCGTGTCCCCTGGAAGGACTCTCCGCAGCCCTCTCTCGCTCCTGGTACCTGCTAAGTCTCTGTGGGGCACGAGCTCAGTTAAAGAAAGGGTCCAAGTTCTCTTCCATGTTGACATCCGGCACCAGCTGATCTGACCCTTCCTTAGCACCATATCCTGAATTTGAGACGCTAAAATCTGTAGAAAACCAAGGATGGTCCAGAATTTCCTGCGAGGTCAGCCGCTCTGAGGGCTCCCGCCGCAGGATGCTTCGTATGAGGCACTTGGCCTTGGGCGACAGAGTCTCTGGAATGTTGAACTGGCCACGTCGGATCTTGCTGAAGAGGGAACTGGGCTCAATGTCATGGAAAGGGTACCGCCCTACCAACATGGTGTAGAGCATCACGCCCAGGCTCCACACGTCAGCTGCTTTGCCCGAGTAGCTGCCACTGGTGTTCAAGATCTCTGGGCTCACGTAAGCCGGGCAGCCGTGCTTGTCGGAGAGGGAGTCGTCATCTCCCCGCAGAATGTAGGCATCTTCTAGGCTTTCCAGCTTGACCCGAGTCCTGCAAGAAAGAGAGAAAGGGTGAGCTCCCATGGGCACACCGAAGCACGTGAATCCCATCACCGTATCTTAGCTCCCGCTCTAATATCTCCAAGACCATGCACTCATTCATTCAACCAGTCAAACATGACTGGTTTAGTGAGCGCCTTCTAGGTGTCAGACACAGTTCCGGGGTGGGGGGACCCAGGCGTGAATAGGACTGACAGGGATTTTGCATGAAGCTTAAGATCTACTGTGGGAACCCACACCTCTAGCAAGTACACAGACCACAAACAACATGACTGTCTCCCCATCTCAGCGATGAGGCAACGGGAGATTTGTACTATTCTCAGACACATCTAGGTAGTTGGGGATCCCCAGGATTTTACTCAGATCCAACCAATTAGGAAGCTCCCAGGAGCTCTGTCGACAACTTCTGAATGATATGATAAACAGTCTGAAAGGACCTTTGATTCAATGGCGCCTTGGCTTTATAACAGTCTTTTTGTTAGACGTGCAAGATTTGATGATTCCATTTTACAGATAAGAACATTAAGGTTCATGGAGTTTGAGTAATTTGTCCAATGCCTTTTAGCTGGGAAAGAGAGAAGACTTGGTCCCACACCTTCCTTAGTCACCCTGGGGCTCCTTGCCCACTACCAAGCTGCCTTTCTTTAGGACATAGACCGAGCTGGGGAATGTTTGAGTAGACAGGCATTACCATAAGCCGTTCCAAGGCTGACATCTTCATATCAAGCCCATCTTCTTTCCAAGATCTGCTGTTGAACTTGCCTCCCGTCTGGCCTATCACACTCCCAGGGGCTGGTCCCTGACCTGATAGTCATCTGAGTTAGTTACCTGTATCCTCTACCTGTGTCAACATGTACACCTGTGTATGTGTGTCCATCTTCCCCTTGCCATTTAAGCACAGCTGAGCTGGCTCACAGGTTCTAGGACCCTCCTGGCTGCACTCATGAACAGAGGTGGAGAAACTCCACATTGAATTCTGAGTCCCTGGGGCCCAGCACTACTCTTTATACAGCAGAGCCTTATATGACCACTGGGCATAAAATAAGTGCTCGGTAAATACTTCCACAAGTAAGTTAAATTCTTAAAATTAACTACAGTAACATGCAGTGAACAAAGCTGAAGACCAAGGCATGGAGTAACTTTCTCAAGACTGGCGGCTGTCCCCTACCGAGCAACAGAAGCTCCTAGACCAGAGTCCCTCTTTGGTTCAAGGCTTCTGAAGAATCCTGTTCCCCCGTTCTGCCATTCCTTGAGGGGAAACCTAGGTATTGTGACTTTCCAGTGCTTAAATGGAAATCCTCTTCTATTCTCCTGGCCAGAACCCTCCACGACAGAGCTCTTGTGTTAAACCCTGCAGACTCAGTCCCATTCCATCCCACGATGAAGACTTGCCACAAAGGTGACATGGGCCAGGGAGGAGGGGCTGGAGTGAGGATTCAAGGCCTACAAGGTCACGATCATTCACACCAGTGGGTTCCTTCATCTCAAAAGTGCACATCACAGTTTCTACCCTGTTGTCCTGAGGGGTGACGAGGCTCAAATGAGCAGAGAACAGGAAAGTGCTTAGAGAAAAGACACTGGGGCTTTTGCCTAAATCAGAGCTTGTGACTCAAGTCGGTAAGCTGCTTCCCTCTTCCTCCCCCGGTCTACAGGTCTTAGCCTATGGGAGCCATAGAAGGAAGGTGAGGTTCAAGTTAATCAGTTAGCTCTGTTATAGCAAAAAATCGGATGAAATCCCAAGATTCTGAGATCTCCTTTTTGAACTGCAGAAGTTTCAAAGGCCAAGGAGTGACTGCTTCCCTGTACTCATTTCTTCAGTGAGCAATAACATGGTGGTGTTCTCTGGAAATGGTGCTGGGCTGGGAGCTCGGAGAGCAGACTCCAGGCCAGATGACATCTCTCATCTGCCGTGTGGCTGTGGGGAGGTCACTCAACCTTTCTGTTTCTCCAACTTAGAGAGGAGCATTGGACAAGGCCGTCTTCTTTTTAATCATTATTATTATGGTTCAATGTACATGAAATTTATCATTTTAACCATTTTTAACTGTACAGTTCAGTAGCATTAAGTACATTCCCACTGTTGGGCATGCATCTGGACAAGCTGGTGTGAAAGTCTCTGCCAGTTTTACCATTCTGGGTGTAATACAAAACAACACGTCTTCTTTACTTGCTCTCCCATATTCTGCTATAACCTGTAGCACACACGTTCTTCTCCACCCCCTTCGGCTAACGATCTACAGACGCGGGAAGGGTCTAGATGAGCTCATCTGGAACTGGGCTGATGGAAAGCAAAACCCATTCTTCCTGTTGCTCTTTCTAATCGAAGGAGGCAGGTGAAGTGGACCCACACCAACTTCCCTAGATATTCCAAGATCGGAGGTGAGTCAGGGAAACCCAAGGGGGCAGAGGAGAGGGGGCACACACCATGGGGCCAAGCGGGTTCTTTCAACAGCTTCCTTCCTCAGACCCTCACTGGCAGCAGCCTCCAACCCGGAGCTCAGGAGCTGGCCAGCCTCCTGGCCTCCAAGGTCACTGTCATGGCAGCAGGATAGCTACGGGAATAACGATAGCCGTGGCAACGGTCATCAGCTGTGGGACAAGGGACAGTCCAGTGGAAGGAGCACTAGACGTGGGATCAGGTTTGGGGCTGGGTTCCTCTGCGGCAGCCCTCCAGTTTTGCATGTGGGGCTGACATCTTCTCTGAGGCTGCGTGGTGAGCCTCGGGCCTCCTGACTACACCCGCAGCCCCGCCTCCTCTCTGCTCCAGCCCAGTCCCTGCTCCTCCAACACAATGACCACCACCATCTCCAACACACTGACCACCACCACCCTGCCTGGGGCCTCTGTGCTCATTCTCTCCCAGCCTCTGCCTGGAATGTTCTTCCCTCGGATACTTGGCCGGCTCATCCTGCTCACTTCTTTCCGGTCTCTGCTCAAATGAGCTTGTCTAGAGAGCCCTTGCCTGACCATCCTCTAGAGAGGAGCACCCCGCCCCTGTCCTCTCCTGCCCCTGACTACCACCCGGAGTACTGTGCATTCCTATTTGTACGGTCACGCATTTATACTCTGTATTACTCCCGTGGGCACTGCAGGGTCCTTGCCTTAGTTCCACATCCAGGAGCTCAGGAGCAGGTGGCTGAGGTCACTCTGTATGTAAAGCACGTCACCGGTGTTGACGGCTGTTTCTTCTGCACTGAGACGAGCAGGGCCACCCAGCCGACAGTCTGAGACTGAAGCGGCATTCACACCACCAACCCCTGGGAGCTCCAGGGTGCCCATCTTTGAGGGAACGACAGTCCTGCCCTGCGTCCCTAGCCAGGATTAAGTGGAAGTCAGGGGAAGTATCCATGGGGAACAGGCTTTGTAAATTCCAGTACCTCAGCCCCTGGCAGGGGTGAGGGCACATGCGGATGTGCCTCCGGAGACCTGAGCGGCTACTAGCTCAGCCCTTGCCGGGGACAGACGTCAGCCCTCAAGCTCCTCATGCTGCACCACATCTGAAGCCCTTTTCCATTCTTACGTCCTTCCAGCCCACAACCCTAGACGGTCAGTCTCACCTTCCCTCTGTGACCCAACCAACCTCCCTCCCCTCGGGGGCACGGACTCTACTTCCAGCCTGACCCCCTTCTGGAATCCTTCTCCAGTTCAGAGAAAAGGGCCTTCAGAAATGGCCAAGGGTTCGATCTTGTCCATTAATGCCCTTCCCAGCATTCACATCTCTCCTCCCCACTATCAAGGACTCAGGGGCTGTGCAAATGCCCAGTGGACCCAAGAGGCCAGTGGAAAGCGCCGTGCACATGCTGTGGACGTTCGGCTGCCCCAGAGCTTCCCCACCTGCCACATCAGCCTCCTCCCTCCCGAAGCCAGGGTCTAGGTGGCCTGAGTCTGGATCTGCTGGTCATGTTCGGTTCCGTGCATTTGGTGCCTGAGTGGCCCCATATACACCAGGACAGCTCTGTCTTGAAGTCAGAGATCCGGGTTCCAATACCGGCTCTGAAAATTACTAAGTACCAAATAGTAAACACCATCTATGTACCTAGATAGGTGCTAGTTATCTTCAGATATTTCTTCTCTAAAGCTTATAAAATCAATGTTCAAGGCAAGAATTATTATCCCTTTATGCGGACATGGAGCTTGATGCTGGGAAAGGGTGCATAAGCCCATATGAATAGCGAGGCCCATCGGGGCTGAGCGCTCATCCCTCCCTGGGCTCCGATCAAGCAGCCCGCCCGCAGGCCTGGTCCATCCAATGCAGCAGCGAGTGCAGGAAACCACAGCCAGATGTCCCCGTCGGTGAGGCCTCCTCAGAGTGGGGAGCACACGTGCACCCAGGGTCAGGGAGAGCCAGTGCATGGGGCAGGAGCCGCTCCTCCCAGGGAGAAGCCCAGACATCCCAGGCAGGTGCAGTGAGAAGCGAAAGAGAAGCCTCGAGAAAGACGGGGAGGAAGTGCATACTTCTGCCCCTGCCTCCTCCTCAGAACTCCCTGAACTGGTTTACATCACTCCTAGGCAAGGGTCAAGGAAAGTGGTCTGGATTGCGTCTTTAAACAAGGACCTTTCAGGGTGCACGCATGGCAGGAACCCGAGGCTCCTGTCCCAGCGCCAGTCCCCATGGACTTGCTGGACCATTGCAGGGACTCTCAGAAGGTCTCTGGGGCTTGGTTGCCCCCTCTGGGGAGCAGGTTGCCTCTGTCTGCACTGGAGAGTGTGGGGGGGGGGGCGTGCCTAGCAGAGCACTTGCTCGTGTCAGCATGGGACAGACAATATGAATGAACAGTCTTTCAGCTTCTGCTGTCCGCTGCACAGCCTGAGGGTTATGCATTCCCCGGCAAAGGAACTGATTTTCTGAACAATCCATGAGAGCACTGGTGGTCCTATAATAATAATTCAAATGCCCCATTAATCATTAAGGCATTGAAACTAGGCACCAGGGATAAGGCCATGACAAGTAACACCGAGCTTCTTGGGTTTTTGTGAGGACTGAGACAATGG